AATAGGAATCTATAATAACAAATTCAACATGCTAGCATTGTTTAAATATTTCTAAATGGAACATACAGGATTTAATTCATTATTCACAATTCTGTGACTGGATTGAATTGACTTGCTATTAGTTTTATATATACTTTATGTATTCAGTAAGCGATTTCGCCTGTTCATTAATAGCAGCCAAATAACAGTTCGAATCAATCGTTAGTTCAAACGACGTAAGAGAAGAGATTGATTTGGAAACGGGGAATAATAGTGATTAAAATTGTATAAAGTAAAGCTAAAAATGTAAATAGGTCAACATTTATAGTCCTTATTGCGACATAAATGAATTTCGTTTTGTTTCGTGAAATTATTCGCAAAATCTTCTTCAAGCTTTATTTTTTTAATTGTACAGTATTGTTGATTAGTAGGTACTCTTGTATCATAGCAAGATGTGACAGAGCTCCTTTTGCTTTTTCAGCAGATTCAGCTGACGTCCGATTTTTTTCTATTCCCACTGCGATCCCTGTAGTGAGTAACATGGCAAGGGAGGATCTCCTCGCGTTGCTATTTGTAAGCAGAACCCGACTTCTGGTGAAAAAAACTGTCCCCTTGCAGCGACATGACCGAAATTGGTCCCCTCGATTACTCGATACGGTTAATGGTTTCACAAAATAAAAGATTTAGGCAAATTGACAAGCAAATGTTACGGTACTTAAAAAAATATGAAATTTTCTTTCAGTTAGAAATTAAAATGGACAAGTATTACTAGGTTCCCTCTTGTTTCAAGAAATATCTGTTTCTAAACACGGCTCCTGTCCGTTCGTTTATCGATTCCTTGCTCGCTTAAAGCTTCGTCTAATTTTCATCGAGGACTAAGATAATCGGATGTAAAATTAGCCTGTCGATGCAGAGAGGGACGAATTGATATTCTCGGTGGAAAAAATCATGTATTGTCTTATGCTGTCCCTAATAAATTGAAATACCTTTTTTTTCTATAAAAAGAGATTTTTAAATACGTATGATTTTTATGTCATAGAGATTCACAAAGTAGGGCAACGATATAAATGACGTGAAGTAAAATATTTTATGTTCAATTTATAAAATGTGTATGATAAACTATACATAGATAACAAGAACTCAAACTTTTTCAAAAATTGAAGCTGTCATATTCTTCACTAACTAAATCGGTAATAATCAATTCTGATAGTGAAGCTTCATTATTGTCAGTCACGCAAGTTCATCAATGAAAGTTCTGATGGTTTAATGAGATCTACCTAGCACTCCTTCCAAAATTCATAAAAAGTAGCAGACTCTTTTTGATTACTTTAGATCAATCACGCGTAAATTCTGTTAATCAGAGCGTAAATTCTGTTAATTATATTGAGAAATACTTTTCATTTGTTAATTTTTTTCATTTATGAAAACATTCACTGGACGTAAGTTCTGTTACCGTATCTCCAGTCCGACGGATACAGAGACCGGATCGAAAGAACTAGTACACCAAATTCATTGTATTTTGACACCACATACAAATTGCTCACCGTGTATTGCTAGCAACGTTGAACAATCACATTGGAGAATGTGAGTCAGCAATAGATGGTTTAAAAATCAGTTCCCTAATTCTCAGTTCTTAGTACAGAAGATTCTATCATTTCACTCAGTATCGAGCAATTGCTCTATCGTAAGGTAATAGCAGGGAAAGAGTGCGTAATAGCGGCGTTAGACTATCATTTTATTATATCGATCCTCGGTCGTACAAAGTGTAAAGACAGCGGAGAGGATAACGCCCGAATGTTTGTCCATGGGTCTGTCGGAGAAGGCCTCGCGGAAGCGTATGGCCCATTCAATCGAAACTTGTTGAATTAATAAAGACGCGCGAGTGCATCAAACTCCAGTCGCGGTAACTTTATCGTAGAACTTTGTGTTCCTGCTCGTCCGTTGCATAGAACGATCGTAAACACAAAAAGAAGTTCAAAGCGGAAGTTATAATCTCGCAGTACGAGTTTGAAGGAGGTTTGCATGCAAACTTTTAATTGTAGTACATCATCCAATAGATTGATAATTATAATGTATGTTTTGTACTTATGAGGGCACAATTGTTTTCTATACGCAAAGCTAGTATAACATGATTAAAGACTATTTTGATAATTTTTCTATTAAGAAATTGGCAGCACGGACATCTCATTGGATTTTAGATTAACGTAGACATAGACAAATTATGTATGCGTTCCCTTAGATGAGAAGTTTAAGATTTTATGAGCCCTAAAATAAAATCAGTGGACTACTCAAATTTTATCAGTTATTAGATATTACGTTTAAAAAGTGCCTAACAAATGCCACCGTTTCAACTTCTGACCCATTTTCTCTTATCGTTCAGGATGAAAATGTTTATAAAGGCTGCAAAAGTAGTGCCAGAGTTTTAACATAATCTCTAGGAATTTCTGCTTACATTATTATAAGTTATTTATTATTAATTTTTTCAGAAATTGTATTATTTCTATTTTAGTTTTTTATTCTTTGGTAAGGAACGACAATATTTTTTGTTTTATTAGGTTCCGAAAATGGTCGAGGCTCGGCGGACAGCGAAGACGAAGGCGGAGGGCTAAGCGTAACCGGAGAGGGTCACGACGCGACGGACACGATGTCTAGCAACGCGTCCAGCAACGTGAGCCCAGGAGGATCTCTGGAGAACGGTCAGAATATGTCAACGAGTGGATCCAGCAACAACAAAGCCAGACGCAGACGGACAGCATTCACTTCGGAACAACTGCTAGAATTAGAACGAGAGTTTCACGCGAAGAAATATCTTAGCCTCACGGAGAGGTCGCACATCGCCCACGCTTTGAAATTGTCTGAGGTTCAAGTGAAGATTTGGTTTCAAAATCGACGAGCGAAGTGGAAAAGGGTGAAGGCAGGATTGAGCGGGGGCGGCGTTGGTTCCGGAGTAAGCAGTATGGCGACCGCTGGTGCTTCTAACAGACATAACGGAGCGACTGGTCATCATTCCGGCAGTGGAACCAGGATCGTTGTGCCGATTCCAGTGCACGTTAGTCGGCTGGCTGTGAGATCGCATCATCATCATTTAGAAAAGTGTGCCAGACCGTCGAGAGTCAGCCGGACGAGTGAGAGTCCTACGTCGAGCTCAACGTCCTCGGTACTCGGCGATGCTTTCGGTTTGGTCAATTCGTCTATCAACCTCAGCGGACAGGTGCAACAGAGTCCTTTAAACACCGGAGTCGGAATTGGAGTTGGTGTTGGCCTCAGAGCGTTTACGGTCCCATCTCAATGCGGCGGACTCAGTTCTTCCAGGTAGTGAACGTTAAGTAGTGAACTGTGAACGTCTTACTGTTTGAAGATAGCGAGAGTATAAAAAGTAATTATTTATGAAACGTGGTGTTGATAAAACTTAGTTCGTAAACGAAGAGGTGGGTGAATGAAAAAGTTGATGTAGATAGTGACATGTGAGTGAACAATTTTTGGACAGGGATGTTGATTATTATATTGATTGTTACTCGAATGATACATTAGAATGTTTACTCTCTGTGTACACAGCCATCAGGATAATTTCAGCATCATCTACATTTTCATTTCTTCTTTTGACTTCAACTATATTTCAAATGTAGCTTACATTTCTATGGTTAAATAGCGATTGCTCATGAGTAAGGTCAATTTGACAGATCATGACGTATAAGTAAACTAAGTGTTAAAGTTCGAGTAACAGGACCATTTGCTTCGACACTCAATTTGGACTGGATACAGGCGATGGATTTTTTTTCATGTGACACTGCTGCGATCATTATGCTTGTCTTCGATCATTTAACTGATGTGAAGGCAAAGAAAAATACGTGATCACTCGTACGAAAAATCGATCGTTCGCATCCAGCCTTGCTCTCTCTTATGCTTCAACTTAATCTAACATCATCCAATTTTATTATCAACCAATCTGTAAATAATTATCCCCATGTCGATAAGAAGAAAAATTCTGTAAATATCTTTCCTATAGCGCATTATCTAGAGTATACGAGGAGCCGTAGGTTGTTGTACTTGTAGATAATTTCCTTACGTTTAAGCGAACCTTCATCCGAGAAGTACTACGTTACGATGATACCTGTTATCGATCGAGCGTGCGATTACCGCAGCTGTATCAGTGCCGTGGATTGGGAGAACAGTCAGAAGTGTATACCGAGGAAGGCAATAAAACTTGCGAATAACATGTGGAATATGTATGTATCTTGTAACCCGCGAATGCACGACTTTCCGTTTTGCGCCAACTCTGATATTACAGAGCGCAGGACAGGCTCTCATGAATCCACGATTCTTGCAATTATCTATGGATCAAACGGACGAGTCCAGGAAATCGTTTCCATTACTAATTCACGAGTTAAAGCGAATTAAATTGCGCTTACTGACTGACTGACTCTATTTCAAGCGGTCTTTAGCTTGAACCCAGAGTGTTTCCATTCCCATCGTGCTCGAAGGTAAGTGATGCTCTTTTTTCCGTCAGGCCATCGAACGATAGGATCTTGCATTGTCTGATACAAGCGTTCTCCAGTTTCATAGAGTCGAAGAATGTACAAAGCATTGGATCTGATTCGTTGATTCTATTAGAAAGAGATCGCATGCTTACATCTGCTAATCCCTAAGAAAATTTCTAAAAAATTTCTCTTTTCGGTGATCTCGGGCATGGGGTAAATTAGCTAGCTGAACGATACGTCAATGCATATCGACGAGCGGTTAGGTTGTATAAGCTGAAAGTGGCATATGGGGTCACGCCTACGAGGTGAGTATGGGTCCCGACCTTTTTCCACGGGTCCCTTTGAAAAACGGGCCAGCACGCGCCGCAGCCTGCGAAAATACGTGCGCCACGCTCCGCCTACGTTACGCAGCCTGCAATTTTCCACGTCAAGGTGATCTCTTGGGAGACACTGATCACGTTCCGGAGTCAACAAAAGAATTACTGTCAACCCTTCGTAGAATCTGATTCGACGTAATTGTCAAAACAACTTGAAAGATTGACTACGGTTGCGATTCGGAATTCTAATAACGAAGACTTTGGAATAAATCATACATATATTTTGGACGAAACGATATGCTGGGAGAAAATCGTTAAATATATTATTTTCTGATTTTCAGTTTCGCCACATGCAGACATCTAAATATTCGCATGAATATCTGTAGAACGTGAAGCATCGTTGTTGACGTGATTTGAACAATTTTGATAGTTTCTTTGTCGAAAGCAAACGAGTCGTGAATAATGTGCTGACTACTCGATCAAAATTAGTGACTACACGAATATCAATGCGCTTATGCATCTCACGCGCATCAGAATACGAAATGGATCGGATAGTATCCCGCAGTAACTTCGATTTGGGGCGTTGCACTAGGGGAAAGAAATTATGGGATACAATAGAATAGGGGGACTCAGAGTGCATAGGGGAATCAGTTTATGTGCATCGGAGATATCATAGCTGTAATTTTCTGCGTTAATATTTGAACGGTGACAATTTTAATTCAATGTTTGAACAGCGGATGAATGTTTGTAATCGTATCAGTAACACTGATCCGTAAAACGTATAGAAATTCTATTAACAATTTCTAGTTTGATATGGAATAATCATTCTCCTCTCCTTCTACTATACATGATACTTTTAATGTCTCGGGTATCCAATTCAATCTTTTCAAAAAAGTCCACGGAGCAGCGATCTTTTTAAGTCATCCTCCGTGAGACGCGCTGAAAAGGAGAAGCAATATAACCGGGAAAGTGAACGAGGTTGAGGCTGGAAACGAGAACGAGTCGAGGGGCTGCAAGGCCCTGGCCGAGGTAGGTATAGTTATATCTATACAGTGCGCACAATGGCAACGGCGTAGTGCATTACGGTTAATACACGAAGGACCGCGGTCGTTTAGCCGAGGATCTCGGCAGTTACCGCTTCGCAAAGAATAAATCATCTCGTGATTTCAACCACGCCTACCGTAGGACAGAGAAGCGGCTCCCCCAGAGCGTAACGTACGGCCTAGACTCTAGACTAGACGTTTGGCTATACAGTTTCTCTTTTCCCCGTCCATCCGCGTGTTATACTGTGTCGTCGCTGCCCGGATGAAAACGCCGTGCACGCTTCTGAGAGTGGAAAACTAATAACCCCGCGCCGCGGATATCCGTTCGGAACAGTCACTGGCACGGAACGGAATATATTGATAGAACGATTACGGATATTTTCGCCTGTCTGCTGGATATTCGACCTCAAAATCACCGCGACGCAATTATACGTATAGTACGAATTCGTTCTACTCCTAAGCGAATTTGCCGTTTTTAATAAAAATATATACAGTGAACGAAATTCCTGTAACTGCTTC